CTTGTTCTTGGATTTTTCTTCTGTGGAACCGAGGATATTTGCCTTCAGCACCACCTAAATGTCATTTGATGGCATACCAGACATTTGGGGGTTAAAGTACACACCATATGTACAAAAACACTGTATCATACATACCCATGGGTATGTTATAATACATAGTTCACACGTATTTTAATGTTAGCAATAAATAGAATGAGAAAGCGATATCACAGAGATTCAAATTTTAGGAAAAGAAACATTCTGCATCCAATGTAACTTAATAAGTAATATTTTTTCTTTGCTTGCCTCTGCTTGTATTGGAGCAATTCAACAGTAAAAAGGTTTAGAGGCGCCTTGGTTCACTTGAAATAAAACCCTGATGCATTGAAAATGAAGTTCCCATGGAAACCATTTCTGAAGTGATAAAAGCTGCAAAATAACTTTTTCTCTGGTGTTTCATCATGTATATAACAACCATGTAAAGCTTCTAGAGGCAAGTGAACTTTTAATAAGCCCCCAAGGTTTTCTTTGCCTGTGAGTCTCAAGGAAAGATTGTCTTATGGGGCTTAATTTTTTGATAATGGCTTGTTTTTCTCTATTTCCTAAGTATGTGTAGTGGGATTGAGAAGAGAGATTGGAATTCATTAGAGTTCCACTGGGGTGTGGACAGTTCTAAGTGTAAGTTGGCCAAGGAGACACCATTATTGTTGAGACTGAGCTGAGAGTGAACAAGAGTAAGTCCTCATTATTATATGTACACGTATTAAAAAATACACATGCCAAAATACGTGCAATGATTTTAGGTGGACTTATCTGGAAGAAGATGGACCTCCTTCTTTGTGTTAGAATTTTGTAATTTCTCCAAGTGGACTCTAGCTCTTAATTCTGACCAAAATATGTACATACCATTTGCTATCTGAGGCTGTGATTCTCCCAAATAGACATTTTTTTTCTTGGTTGGGAAATCTGTCATCCTTCATATATAAAAGTCCTGATAAGGAACATAGAATGCAAATTGCTACACAAAGCTTTATCAGTCTTAGTCAACTTACATGGTGTGACTTATGATTCTCTAAATTCTCAGTCTCTTTCTCCCTATCCTTTTCCTACATTCAGAGTCTCTCCTTCAGAGCCAGTAATTAGAGTTAATCTATTTTATTTAAAGTGCAGGATAAAAATGTAATGTCTTGAACAGATCTTGTGTTAACCCATGAATGCTTGATGTCTTAGTAGAATAACTGATCTTACGAAGCAATGCTTTTTAAGTCTCTTCAAGTCATTGCTCAATTGTCAGATTAATTCTATTTAAAATAGAAATCTGTATCCCTGTTTTTCAATCCCTCTTCCTTTCTTTCCTTTTCTTCTCATGTGTTTCATGTTTAACTTCTTTCTTCCACTTGAATGAAAGCTCCACGAGGGCAGATTTTTTTTTCCCCATTGAAGACGCAAAGACCTAGAAAAGTTTTGGTGCCACAGCAGATGTGCAATAGGTATTTGTTGAAGGAACATCCTTCTTGATTAATGTCTTTTGCTCATTCCTCATCATTTGACATACTTGCTATAGGGTTCAATTCCTGGACTTCAGACAGTTTTAAAAACATTTTATTTGTTCTAATTAGTTATGCATGACAGTAGAATGCATTTTGACACATCATACATAAATGGAGTGTATAACTTCTCATCTTTCTGATTGTACATGATGTAGAGTTACACAGGTCATGTAATCATATATGAACATAGGATAATAATGTCAGGTTCATTCTTCACCATTCCTACCCCCACACCCCTCCCCTCCCTTCAGTCCTTTCTGTCTAGTTGGACTCCAGATATTGACAAAGTTTGATACAGTTACCTAGCAAGTATTTGCTTTTAATCACCAACATGAAATTGCATGAGTAGGCAGTGGGGGAGGGGAGGAATAGAAGTTTCCATTTTTTTTTTTTTTTTAGTTTGGAGAAGAATTCTTTGATGTGAGTGAAATAATGAATTTTGACCCTTCCTGCCTCTAACACTTTTCATCTTACTTTAAAAATCACTTGTTTTTATCTATCATGAGTCTCACAGTTCCTTGTAAGTAAACGTGTTGGTTTAGACAATTTGTTTTCACTCATAGGGAGGTAGTGTAGCTAAAGATTAAGACCATGAGCACTGGCATTAGAAGGACCAGGGCTTATTCAGAATTCTGAATCTATTAGCTGTATGCACATTTCACTGAAAAAATAATTAAAAAATTGATGGCATAGTATGTATTTATCTAATACAACAAGACATATATGATATATATGTATGTATATATGAAGTATATATGCATTGTGAAATAATTAAATCTAGCTAGTTGACAAATGCATTACCTCACATACTTACCATTTTTGTAGTGAAAGCACATAACATGTTTTAAAACTTTTTCATGTTTCAAGAATAAAATGTATTGTCAATAGCTATAGTTACCTTGCTGTACAATAGACCTCTTGCATGCTTCTTATTTCAGAAGTGAAGATTAACAGATAAAATTATGAAATTGTTCTGAGTAGTAAATGTGGTAAAATTATTTGTATACTTTTATTAGATACTTGGTGTACTTATAAGGGTATCCATAACACAGTGTTTGGTACACAGTAAGTTTTCAATACAAGCTAGTGAGAATTGTTTTTCCCATAGTGTTTTGTTCTTCATTATACTTAAAAAGTATAATGAAGGGGGCTGGGGATGTGGCTCAAGTGGTAACGCACTCCCTGGCATGCACGGGGCGCTGGGTTTGATTCTCAGCACCATATAAAAATAAAAGATGTTGTGTCCACTGAAAACTGAAAAATAAATATTAAAAAATTCTCTCTCTCTCTCTCTCTCTCTTTAAAAAAAGTATAATGAAGGAAAGAACAGGTCATTAAAAGTCAGGTGAAGCATTATCAAGGGTGTGAATGAACATTTTTTTTCTTTTCTGGGGAGGGTAGACTCTGGGGCAATGGTCCTATGGGAGCTTCTTTAACTAGCTTACTGAGATCTTTGATCCAAAATAAAACTCTTGAGTCTCCTGTCATCCATAGTGTTCATAAAGGCTGTTGTCCCTTCCCTGGAAGCTGGACAGAAGCCTCAGGACAAAGGCAAAACCAGAGTGCATGTTCTTCATCTCAGCAAGAGAAACAAGATAAACTAGAGGTTTTAATCCTGAGAGTGGAGAAGTGGAAGTATTGAGACCTGAGCTCCACATTGTCACCCTTTCTGCACAGGACCATTTGTATCTTCATGAAGGAGATGAATGGGAGACAGTAGAGAGCAGCAGTGTGGCTCCAAGCGGAAAGGGGTGAGTTCCTCTTGACCACTGTATTCTGCAGTAAAGGCTCAAAGCACAGGAGTCTGATGGCTGGAGTTGACCTGCTGCTGCAACTCAGTAGCATTGGGACTTAGTGCAAGTCACTCAGGTCTCCCTTTACATCATCTGTAAAATTAGGACAGGTATAATGCCACCCAGCATTTAGAAGTGTGCCTATTCCATAGTTAGTGTTCAGTAAGTATTTCTTTTCCCTTCACCCCTTTCATTTCCATGAACTTCCATGGTGTGTAGATTCTTTATCTCTCTCTCTCAGTGACTTGCTTCTTTTCCTCTCACAGACCCTCCTAGAGGAGCATGGCTGCAGAGAACTCCTCTTCTGTGACAGAGTTCATCCTTGCAGGCTTAACGGACCAGCCAGGACTCCGGATCCCCCTCTTCTTCCTGTTTCTCGGTTTCTATGTGGTCACTGTAGTGGGGAACTTGGGCTTGATAATGTTGATTGGGCTGGATTCACACCTGCATATTCCCATGTACTTTTTCCTCCTCAACTTGTCTTTTATTGATTTCAGTTACTCCACCACCCTCACTCCTAAAATGCTGGTAGGTTTTGTCTCAAAGAAGAACACCATTTCCTATGCAGGGTGCATGACTCAATTTTTTTTCTTCTGTTTCTTTGTATTTTCTGAATCCTATATCTTATCAGCCATGGCATACGACCGTTATGTTGCCATCTGTAAACCATTGCTGTACACGGTCACCATGTCTCCCCAGATGTGTTTATTCCTTTTGTGGGGTGTTTATGGGATGGGAGTTTTTGGGGCTGTGGCCCACATGGTAAACTTAATGTTTATAACCTTTTGTTCAGACAACCTTATCAATCACTATATGTGTGATATCATACCACTCCTTGAGCTGTCCTGCAATAGCTCCTACATACATTTGCTAGTGGTCTTCATTGTTGTGACCATTGGCATTGGGGTGCCCATTGTTACCATTTTTATATCTTACGGTTTTATTCTTTCCAGCATTTTCCACATTAGCTCCACTGAGGGCAGGTCAAAAGCATTTAGTACCTGCAGTTCCCATATTATTGTGGTATCTCTTTTCTTTGGGTCAGGAGCTTTTATGTACCTCAAACCACCTTCCATTCTGCCTCTGGATCAGGGAAAGGTGTCCTCCATTTTCTACACTGCTGTGGTACCCATGTTCAATCCACTAATCTATAGCTTGAGGAATAAGGATGTCAAAATTGCCCTGAAGAAAACCCTGAGCAGAAAAATCTTCTCTTGAAAGGGTTTGGGAAAGATGTTCGAAAATTTTATCATAATAATTCTTTATCCAGTGAAAGAAACAATTTGGTGTTTTCTTCCCTCTACTTAGACGAAACTTAAATCCTGATCTTAGGCACAATAAATGTGCCTTCAATGATTTACCCACCCAACTATTCCAATCACTCTGTTTTAAAAGAATAATTTTTTTTGCAATCATAGAGCAATTAATCTCTACTGTGCCTAAGAAGTCATTTAATACAGACTCTTCCTATAGCACTTCACACATAGAGAATTCAGAAGTATTTTGTATTGTCCATGGACACACCTTTCTGCCAGAACTGGGACTGAAATCCATGCCTTGAATCTTAATCCAAATTTACTCTATTTTCCTGAAGCTCTGATTTCCTATTTTATCTTTCTCACAACCAATTTCAGTTAAAAAGTTGCTGTGGGCTTTTAAAGTAATCTAATTCTTTCCCCAGTGATGCAGTACAACTTTTCATGGATTAATTTTTGGAATATAATTTTTGAAAGAGTGTTGGAGGTGAAAAATTTGGCTGATTTGGTCTTGGCAAAAAATTTTTTTTTTTAAAATTTAGGGTGTGTGTGAATAGGGATCATGTTAGGTTTCACATGGAATCAAGCATCCAAACTTACTGAGATGATCTGCAGAGTCCTATGGTCTCTGATTATTTCATTAGATCTCCTAAGGAAGAGGTAGGCAGATTTACATTACTGTAAGATATTAGATACAAATTTCATTCATTATCTCTAGACTATGGAGATAGAATGTGCAGCCTCACTTCAAGGCTCTGCATATGATAGCTAAGTAATAGAAAGATTTGAATGTAAGTGAGCCAGTTGAGTCATTGGAACAAATTAGTTATTAGGAGAGACGAAGGAAACATTATATTTTGAAGCACTGCATATATCTGTGATCTTCTTTTTAAAATATTTTATTTAGTTGTAGATGGACACAATTCCTTCCTTCCTTCCTTCCTTCCTTCCTTCCTTCCTTCCTTCCTTCCTTCCT